AGAACCTCTCGGTCTATGTGTTCACTGAGTGGTCGTTCGGTGACCTCCTGTGCCGTATGTATCACTTCATACACGCCCTCTCATACACCGGCTCTGTGTATATACTGGTCGTCATATCCATTGAGCGATACTTAGCGCTCGTCTACCCGTTGTTGAGTCGACGCCTCCTAACCATCCGTAAGCTTAAGATCACAATAATTATTGTCTGGATTTTATCGGCCGTCTGTTGTTTCCCCCGATTTATTATCTTCGGTACCGTTAATATACCCATGGATTTAGGTTTGCACTCATTTTTATTAAATAAATTTATTGTTGATAATAAAAATTTTATATAAAGGCGATGTCGGGATTTATTTTACATATATAAAACATTTACAAAAACCCAGATATACATAACATAAATAATTTATTTCAGATCAAAAACCTTTTTTATTATATCTGCAATGTTATATTTACAACAAATGTAATTTTACACAGTTTACTACAAAGAAAATTATTGATTTTTGTGTTATAAAAACTATATCAATGAAAAATCTATTATTTATACTGCATATTGATATAGTATAAATAAAAATATAATAGATATACCAATAATATTTTCATGAGCATACTTTGCATTATATTTGCATGCAAAGATTACACGATAAATAAATTTTTCATATCACATGTAATATTCACTAGCATTGTAGAAATAAAAAATTCTAAAAAAAATTCTTTATAAAATAAGATTTTATAAATACTAATTTACAAACTTCCAACGATTTTATTAAGAAATCTAATTTAATAAAAAATTGTAAAAAGTTTAAAAATATAGAACTTAAAAAGTTCAATAATTTGCATTTAAGGGGTGCACGTAACCATTATCTAATTTTGTAAAAAAAAGTATAAACAAATTCAAAGCACGTTTATTAATTTAAATTTATTTATAGTATGATATATAGGGGTAGCATTTTAAAATAATTTTTAATTACATAATGATAATTTATAGTTAATAATGTCCAGGATAGTTTAACATAAATGTTAATAGTTACTAGTAAAAGTAGCTATTTATTTAAGTATTATTAATATTTCTATTCTCAAAATTTGCCACATATTAACCATAATATTATTATTTTACACACAATTATTTATCACAGAATCGCGAGTTCTCTGTGTATTAAAGCAAAAGACCTATGACGCGAAACTCTACGACCTGTTGTACATAATCCTATGTTTTGTAATACCACTCATCATAATCACAGTCCTATACCTGCGTATATGCCATCACCTGTGGACCAGCCCTTTGCCCGGCTATACATTGCAGGCCAATCGGACCAGTAATGCGGGAACCGGTAGTGCCAACATTAGTGCCAATGGGGGCGCATTGGGCGCATCGACTACCGGTGCAAACGGTGTGAAACATAATAACCACAATAACAACGATAGCAATAATCAACGTGGTGATCACCACCACCATCATCATCATCACCGGTTGGCCGGTGTGGGCAACAACACAGCGCTCAGCGAATCATCGATCAAGTTAATCATTGAGCGGCGCAAAAAAGTGATCAAGCTGCTCATCACCATTGTGTTGGCATTCGCACTGTTCAGCGCCCCATTTCACGCCCGTAAACTCGCTCAACACTACCTGGACAGCTACGACATGGGCTCCGACACGGCCATCATGTTCACCATATTTACCACGTTGTTGTTATACTCCAACTCCGGGGTCAATCCGCTTATATACCTGATATTTTCGCGCCGACTGCGGCGGCTGATGATTGACGTGATCATGCGTTTGACAAACAAGTCCACGGCCTGTACGATCACAGGTCGGCGCCAACCGGACGTACTGTTTCGCAACAGCGAGATGTCGGCCGCATTGCCGGCGACGGCCACAATACAGCTCCGGCCCCATACAGAGTCGGACAGTAACGTATCAGTTATGGCCAGAATCGAGTGCTCTGTTTGTGGTGACGACAAGAATATTCTGTTCAATTCTAGTAACGGATCGGACAATAATAATAGCGATACTATTGATACAATTCATGTCAACATTGATATAGAGTTTGCCGATTCACAGCAAACCCAAGTCTAATGGGAATTAAGATTAATTATGTGACGGATATTTGTTTGTGTACTTACTGTCTATATCTATCTTGGTGTCGTATATAAATTATGTAATCAATTTGTAATATTAACTGTGCCAGTGTGGTAAATCAATATTTTGGCTGATTGCTAAAGCACTTCACAATATTTTAAAATATATTTTTAATGGTTAATAATATGTGTGAAAAACTATAGTATTTATACGAAACATACATGACATGTATACATTGTATATTAATAGTTATTTCAAAATTTAATATATTAAATATTAAAGATAATTAAAAGGTAATGATTACTGTTAAATAACGAGGATTAAAATAATGTTTAACACTTTTCCATATAGAATATACTGTATTATAAAACTTATTTGAGTTTATATTTGATATTTTATCAATAAATATTTGATACCTTTTAAGAAAATATAATATAAAATATTTGGACCCTTCTAAGTAAATATTCTGCAGTTACTTACATAATATAACACCAATTACTTATACATAATGTAATGGATTGTATTATTACAGTGGTTGTTTATTACATATAAGACATGGTACATCTAACTGTATACATCTAATTGATTTAGTGCAAGAATTTTAGCCAATGAATTATTGTAATGTTATTTGAGAAAACAATAGTTTTTGTTATAACTTGGTACATGTAATACTCTAATGTAATACAGTTTAGTATTGTAAGTCTACACATTGATGTCTGGGTTATACAATGATGTCTGGTTTATAATACATTTCTAGCTCAATGATTTAATGTATGTTAATAAGATTAAATCTAATTAATAATGCGTTTATGAATATTTTTAACAATATTAACAAAGTGTAAACATTTATAATTGCATTACAATACCCAACATAAGACCAAGGTTATTTTGAATTTATACTGTTCAGTAAAGTATTTATTCTACAGTGTAGACTAAGTAAAGCTACATTGACAGTTATGACATAACCCTTCCCAAAACAAATCATTATTTTTTAAAATTATAACACATATTTATTAATGATTAATTTTGTAATATAAATATTCATATATAATTAATAAAATGGATATGAATTTGTGTAGATAAAATTACGAAATTAGTGGTATAAATCGGAAGTTTATAAAACTTGAATTCTTTTGCCTAGAAATGTGGATTTAAATTATAAAACTAATTCCACAATTCTATCTACACGGGGTAATAATCATTCAACCTATTTATCATTTAATCTAATATTTTGTTATAAAAACATATTATTGTAGTTTCATAAATTATTTTCAAATCATATAAAGTTTTATAAAATAAAATTGTATTTAATAAATTATAATTTTTACATATCTATGTTATAAAAAAGAAATTGCTTTATATAAATTACAATTGTTCAAATCTAAATTACCGTATTATCCCATAGACAACGCGCGCGTTATCTAATGAAAAAAGTGTAATTCTTGCCAAAATTAGTGGTGCGCGTTATCTACGGGGTGCGCGTTATACGTGGTTTGAAAATAAATAACACGAAAAGTATTTTACATATTCTAAATTATTAATAAACATAATTTTAATAAGTATAAAATCAATCAAATCCGTCTAAATTAAGTAAAGCCAAAAAGACAGTAAAAGTACTTATCTTATAAGTACAAATCACATCTAATTTATACACTATTCGTGTGTTAGTCAAATATAGTGTACTATAATATAAACTTATAAATTATAAGTTATAATTTAAAAGACACCTTGCTGATTCAATAACCACGTTATATTAAAAACATCCCCTATTTCAATCTGGACTCTTTTAATCTAAATCAATTGCTTATTGTGATTTCAACCATTTTCGATTTTTCGCACGGAAAATATGATTTCCTTCGTTTCCTAAGACTTCCTTTCCTTCATTGCACAATTTATTTATATATCCAGCAATTAATCACAATAATTTGTTTTGAATTGCATTCTTAAAACACGTGTTTATCCTAACACTAATAAGTTTGAAATATAGAGTAAAAGATATGCGCGTTATACACGGGGTGCGCGTTATCTATAAATGATTTTTCATTCAAAAATACTGTTAAATTTCTTACTGCGCGTTATACACGGGGTGCGCGCTGTCTATGGGATATTACGGTACATAAATTGTATATTACAAATATATATTAAATTAATCTTTAATAAATCTATTTATTTATCAAAAACTTTATTATGTTTTTTATATAAAGTATATACTTGTATTGGCACATTTGATTAATGTTAGTCTTTTGGTATTTTTAGAAACCAAGTTTCACAAAAATTAAATGATTAGTCAATAGTATTGACTCAATACACTGAAAAATTTTAAAAAGTGCTAGACGAAATTATTTTAAAAAAATTATCTCAAAATATTTCACCAAAAATTAACATATTTTTAAACTTTAAATATGTTTACAACAGACATGTTTAAAGTGATTGTATAATTATTGGAATTCACTACCGCTTATCCGACATTAGTTTGAATAGAATATGGTTATATACATTATATATAAACAATATTAGGAGATTAAGTTTTTCGTTATTTATATTATGGTTCAATAATGATCAATTCACGTACGATTTATGTAATTATTCCGATTTCAAGTACGACCTATGTTCATTACAAAAATAGACCCCCACCCATATGAATACATTATTTTACTTGACTTTATTAAGAAATTTACTGTATCAAGGTTAATCATGGCAACATTATGAAACTCCTCTTCTCATGCCAAGGGACCGGAGCTTAACTCAATCTTATTATATATAACGCCTATATTTATATTTAAATGTCACATTTTGACATTCATTTTTAGACTCATAAATATGATGGTTTGTCGTACAAACGGATTATTCTTAACACAGAATATTCTTATATGTAAAACATAAAACATCAATGTTTGTCAGATGTGAATTGAAGTTCGTTTAAAATAATCACGTACATAGACCATTAAAATGTAAATTCCACTTTCAATAACTTGTTCATTTTATTTTAATACACAAGAGTTACACATAATGTGTAATAAAAATACAAAAAATAAAGTGGCATTTTATATCAGCTTTTATATATAAAAACAATATGTTATTTGTGACATATTAGATATTTGTGACAACAATTTAAAACTATACATTTAATACCTTAACAATCTTAGAATCATAAAAATGACTATAAATTATTTACGTATATATGAAATGAATAGATTTTATAGATTTCATATAATTTCATTTATAGAAATTTTTTAAAAATTCACACAATAGATTAGATTTTTATATCTTGTAACTTGGCAACATCAATTCATTCATCCTTTGAAATAAAACTGTACAATCTATTAAATACTACTTTTATAAATTGTTTAACACTAGATGGTTACATAATCCAATAAATGGATTTTACCTCCCATTTAACCACTGGCAATTTAATATAAAATTTTTTATAAAAAATTTTGGTACAAATATTTAATTAAATTTTATTATTTTTGTATTATTTTATATTAATACTTTTATTTATTCGGAACGAATCATTCCTGATAAACAAATATTTAACTGAATTTAGATTAGATTTATTTGCATAAATTTACATTAATGCATTACGTTTTTATAAACATTTTAAATAATAAATGAAATGAATGTAATTCAAATAAACATTAGAATTACAATGAAATCAATCTTTATAAAAGTAACTTTTTTATATTTATTCTATTACTGTATATGACATAAGATCTCTCTCTCTCTCTCTCTCTCTCTCTCTCTCTCGAGTATTTTTAATCGATAACAAAGAAAAAGATTTATTTTTTGACAAATATTAAGTTCTACTTATATTATCAATGTCCATGTACAATAATAACAATAAAATTAA